ATTTCGAAGGAACTTGGTCATCGATCGGTGGGGAGAAAAAGTTGTTTAAAAGCAAAAACGTTGATATCCATTGGTGGGCTAAAAAGAAGTTTCTTAGGATAGAGGGAAAACAGGCAAGTGAAGTTAAACGTTCAATTCTGATGTTGATTTTGCATGACATTGGTTCTGACGACCATAATATTCGCTCGTCCCATAACATGTGTAAATGCCCTGAAGTCAGTTCTGATATCGAAGGCGTTAAATTGGATGTCATTATCTTGGAATCAACAGTGAAACAACAGGCAAATACGCTTGTTAGTTTGCAGGAAACCTTGGCGAAATTAGAAGCATCAACAACCGATGCAAAATCTATACCGTTGGATCAACTAAGTAAATCTCCCTCCCAATAATACATCGGCTGAATGTGTTGTACAATGTACGAATTATAATAGCCCTATTGCGTCTGTGATTACACCTACTTGCTTGTATTTCTCGGACGAACCTGAGCAGAATAATACGGACAATATAATCGAAAAGCAGAATAATACGGACAGTATAGTCGAAACCTTAGTAGGAAAGTATTTGCCTAGTCATTCCAAGTCAAATGTTAAGAGTTGTTCAAATAATACACCAACTTTAAAGAACCCATGTCATGATCTGCACCACAATCCACAAGGCATTCAGGATCAATTAAATACTAGCCAAAGAATTGAGAAGGAATGTGTGGAGATTTGTCAATCTAATACTAACAAAAGATACTTACACTACCATGGCCAACATAATGAATGTAGTCCCATTGTCTAGATCTCACAGTAATTAATCCCAGTAATAGTGGAATTATTACAGATGATACAACTCCTATGAATAATTATCAATCTATTCCAACCCGCATCACCCAGCGAAAACCATCTAGGAAACATAATAAACGTAACAAAAATTCGGGAAAGGATTTTCGTGCACGTACAATGTTGAGAGACAAAATGAACTTTTACAAATATTATTATTAGACGAGGCCGGGGGTAAATCGTCTTCCGGGATGGAAAGTGAATTGGAAAGCTTACTTGAACATTGTTTATATAATAATAACCAGGAAAATGTCAACCCAAACCTCATCTGTCGTGAGAGAATCAAGTCAAGCAATTTAATTCATGTATCTGTGAACCCCGAAGTTAATAGTAAAACCGTGTCTTGTTCGTCGCATTTTGTACCTGCTATATTATTGTCAAACACTATGTCGCTAGCCCCGAAAATCGATGAAATTGCTATGTTTCTTACTTCGAATCATATAGATATTGCCTTTTTCAGCGAAACATGGTTAAAAGAATCCGTTCCAGATGAAGCTATTAATATTACAAATTACCAATTATTCAGGCGTGATCGTCAACACAAATCCCATGGTGGGGTTTGTTTTTATATTAACAATACCATTTCTTGCAACCGCCTAACGGAGTTAGATAGTGATAATCACGAAGTATTGTGGCTAGCTTTACAACCAAAACGACTCCCACGAAATTACTCAAATATGATAATAGCTGTTGTGTACCACCCTCCAGATGCCGATTGTACAAGTATGCGTGACTATGTCCAATCTTCATTAGAATATATTGAATCTTCAATTCCTAACCCTGCAATCATTATTACTGGTGATTTCAACAAATTGGACTTACAGGCTACTGTTAAACCTTTTCAACTTAAACCAGTAATTGATTTTCCCACCAGAGGTGCCAATATTCTTGACCAAATTTATACCAATCTATTTGAATACTATTCACCTCCTACTAGTGCTCCTCCATTTGGCTTATCAGACCATCTAACAATTGCCATGTGTCCTGGAACGAGGAAAAGATCGCACGAACCACAATCGCGTATTGTTAAAACAAGAGATAAGCGACCCAGTAATATTAGAAGTCTTGGTCGATTTCTCCAGGAAATTCCATGGGACATTTTATCGTCCATACCCTCAAATGATCAAAAACTATACTTTTTAACTAGCATTATAAACTATGGTTTGAACTTAATTATGCCTGAACGTTCAATAAAAGTCCACCCTAATGATCGACCATGGGTTAATAGCAATCTGAAATCACTGATAAATCGTCGACAAAAAGCCTTTGCATCTGGTAATGTCACTCTTTTTAAAATGTTACGTAATAAAGTTAATCGTGAACGAAAACGTTGTCGTAAGAGCTATTATCAATCTAAAGTTCATAATTTACGTAACACTAACCCCCGAGATTGGTGGCGGGAAGTGAAGCAGTTGTGTGGCACATCTAAACTAAACAACAAAAGTGTAAAAGACCGCCTCCATCAAGATTTATGGCAGGAGACAGACATAAACCTCAGTAATAAAATTAACAATGTTTTTATAAATGTGATAAAGAACTATGTTCCATTATCTGAAGATACGGCTGTAATTGTACACAACGATGAAACGCCTATTATTGTGACCGAGTCAACTATAGCTAGAAAATTGCAAGAAATTAATACATCGCGTTCCAGTGGCCCTGACGGTATTTCCAATTGGATTTTAAAAACCTATTCGGATATTCTCGCCTCACCAGTTGCAAATATAATCAATTCTTCCTTTCAAAGCTGTAAAGTCCCTAAAATTTGGAAGCTGGCCGATGTGGTCCCCTTACCAAAAACATCTACTGTCAAAGACTTGGAAAGGGAATTACGACCTATTTCCTTAACTTCCACTCTATCAAAGATAGCGGAACGTCTTGTAATCGAAAGAGAAGTAAAACCAACTCTGTTAAAGGTTGTTGATCCCCAACAATTTGGCTTTATTCCAAATTCTTCCACTGTACTTGCCTTGATATCGATGCTCCATTGTTGGTTGAGTGCAACAGATGGAAGTGGTTCATCTGTTCGCACTGTATTTCTTGATTATAAAAAAGCATTTGACATGGTGGATCACACCACATTAGTTGCGAAATTATTCAGCCTTGGTATTAAGCCCTGTTTGGTTAACTGGATTATTGACTTTTTACGTAATAGATGGCAAAGAGTCAAACTAAGTGATAATTGTTTCTCAGACTGGCTCCAAGTTCCAGCTGGTGTCCCTCAAGGCACACGACTTGGGCCTTGGCTATTCTTAGCCATGATAAATGACCTTGTGGTACAAAATCACCTTTCAGAAATGTGGAAATTTGCCGATGATACTACGGTCTCTGAAATTGTTGAAAAAAACGAACAAAGTACTTTACAAATGGATATCGATGATATTACTACTTGGTCTATGAACAATTCCTTTCAACTAAACCCATTTAAATGCAAAGAAATGGTAATATCCTTTTCACGATTACCACCTGTTTTTGAACCTATACGTATTGGTGACCGAAATTTGGAAAGAGTGACAAGTATCAAATCGCTTGGAGTTATATTAAGAAATGACCTTAAATGGATAGACCATGTAAATTCAATTGTCTCCAAAGCAGCTAAACGTTTATATTTGTTGAGGCAACTCAAACGTGCTGATGTCGCTTCGGCAGATTTGGTCAAATTTTTTTGCAGCTGTATAAGGTCTGTCCTCGAATATGCGTGCCAATTATTCCATAGTTCCCTGCCACGAAATCTTGCAAAAAACATTGAACGTATACAGAAGCAAGCAATGAAAATAATATTCTATGAATTGTCTTACGACGAGGCTCTTAACATCGCTGGTATTTCCACTCTTGAAAACAGACGGGAGTATCTATCCAATAATCTCTTCAACGACATTGTTTTAAATGATGATCATAAACTTGCCAAACTTTTACCATCCAAAGCAGGCAATAGAGAATTACGAAAAGAAAGATCTTTTGAAGTTTTACCAGCAAATACAAATCGTTTCGGAAACTCTTTTGTCAACTTTTATGCTAAGAAACATTACAAATTAGATGTTCCTTGAACATTTTAGAATTTTTAACTCATATAGATTAGTACATTCAAGTATATGATATATAGTATATATTAACAATTTTTAAATTGCATTGTAATATAGAATTTTTTACTATTTATAACCTTGTAACACTTAACGTCATGTAATTCAGTCTTCTGACTGCCAGATGATGTTTTTATTAAACAAACTATTCATTCATTCATTCATTCATGGCACTTCGATCTTATCTCCTTGACCAGCCGAATGCAGTCGAGGGTCCCGATGTTGTGCTCATATTTTCGCCATTGTCATTCCAACGCCACTGTGGACGAAGGACATGGTGTATGGGTAGTACACTTTTGCAATCTCGGAAACAACCTCTCTCTTAATTGCGCAATCGTTCACATTAAGGCTTACGCTACAGGTCCAATCAGTCCAATCATGTTTCATGCCAAGACATACCAGACACATATACCAACTAAGTGATGGTATTGAATACCTTGGGCTTGGAAAGGTCATGTGGTACCAGCTAAATGTAAGTACTCAGATAGCAAGAGTTCGCGTACCTACGTGGTATGTGGCTGAAAACAAAGTACCAGACCATGAGTACCAGACCATAGTACCAAAGTACCAGACCATGTAAGTACGCGAATTATCGCACCCTGTCGGAGAACAAGTTAATTTTTTCTCTTCGTCTAATAAACCGGGTCTATATTTAATTTCGCGAAACACTGACTCATGTCTCTTTCTTGGCTTCTATCTGTTCGTAGCATTTTGCAAAACACAATTGCAAATTTACATTCGTACTCGATTTCATACACGTCCATTGTACTTTGCCCGCTTAGAGGTCAATGTTTTGCAGTTTTGAGTTTTGACTTTCAAAGGACAACCTTATTTGGATTAGCTAAGCTCATTACTAAGCTCATTACATCTTGGCTGAAGTGTCACCGGGATGGATTTACTAGCCCTGGCCAGAAGGGGGGGAGGTGTAATTTTTCATGGTAAAGCAAAAAATATTAGACACAATATGAGATACAGTAATTTCAAATTGAGTACTTAATAACAATTACAATTCAAATACAGTAATCGAGCAAGATTTTGCAATAATTTAGTCAAGCAAGTTGATGGGCAGGCACCAGAGCTAGCTCGCAGACTGACAGAGCACCCCACTACTAGTCATGCTGGATCCATCCCTGAAGTGTCAACATGCGCACAGCACCCACAGAGACAGAAGTAGGGGTGATTGTTTGGAGGGAGTAGGCAATAGCTATATTGTACATTAACCAATTATTAAGTTGCATATTGCATCCCTATTTTATTATTTTACCCGGTATCTTTATTATTAAACCTGCATCTCAATAGATTAAAAACAATACAATTGTAAAGGTTCATATTGAATATAATACAAATCATTAAACATTTACATAGGTAAATATGGGGATTTTGGGCATCTCACTCGATAGCTAGAACTAATTCTTGAAGGGTCTGGTAAACAGAAATATCAAGTGTAAATTTACACAAATATTAGACCTAACAGGGCGTAAAAAAAATACCTGTGGTTCCGGTTCCCGACCGACCCTACTTTTTTTCTGCCGACCCTATTATTTTTTCAACGGGATTGACTGTGCGACCCTATTTTCTCCAGGTGGTTGCGGGCCGCTCATATAGCGTGCCAAAATGCATGGCGTCTGTTGCCACACTAATTATTAAACCAAATTGCCTAAATTCGTCCATAGGAAATAGGCATCTCTAGTTAATATTGATGTCGGGATTCTACTGCAAATCGCCCAACAAAAAAACGCCAAAACCATGAAAAAAATATTTTAAAAAAATAATTTATTTCCGACCTACCGACCCTAATTTTTTTCACGATATGAAACCGGAACCACAGGTATTTTTTTTACGCCCAGGGCCCATAGGCCCTCTGACAGGAATCAAACTTGTAGCCCTGCGATTCTAGTTACAGAGTCCACTTGTTGAGCTGCATGTTCATGTGTATATATATATACTAAGTACTAAGGTGATGCCAATATGTGAGGTGTGTGGATAAATATCAGAATCTTGGGCAGTGATCTACACTCAATATTAATAACTAGTTATAGAAGGGTTTTGTAGGTGGAAGTTTCGAGTGTCAATTTTATACATTTATTAGACCTAACCTTAAAAATTTCCATCTACAAATTACAATTAAAACCTTAATTTATACAAAAATTTGCATAGCATGACCTGTTGCTTTGGCTAGCTTTCCCACTGGTTTTCTCTCAATTTAACAGTTGGGACTGGGATTTAGTCTAAAAAATGGCTGGGAAATAGGATCTTTATTCACCTTTAGATCATTTAATTGTTGGTATAAAGTATTTTTGTTACAATAGGTTTATTAAAAATACAGGTATAAAGTATGCTACATTTACCCAAGATTATGAAGTACTCAGAACGATGTAACCTCAGCTGGAATTTTAGGTATACTGGTATTATCAAGTATTTTGGTATACTAGTAAGGGCCGGGTATAGCTGGGGGGGATCTGAAAATCAGTAAACAGTAAAAAGTTTGGTATTTTAACGGTGACAATAAGTAACATTTTGGTATTTTAACGGTAAATCTTTGAACAGTGTTCTGAAAAGTTAAAAAGTATTTTTTTCCCTCACGCTTCACGGTAAATTTTTAGTGTTTTCACGACTGACGGTAACCAAAATTGAGTGAATCACGACTGACGATATACCCCATCAACACCCTCTAGTAACCCCTCTGGCTAGGTCTGCCATTTTGTCCTAACAGTCTCAAACATGTCATGATGTCAAGCTAGGTGGCAAAGAAATAGAGAATATCATATATATATATATTAGATATAAGATTTTCAATTGAAAAGAATGATTTACATGCAGCACTCAAGAAAGATGCTGATCTCTTTCACATCATCATGACTTGCTTATGCAAGAATTAGGACCAAATGGATTACAGATACTTACAGATGTAACCAGTGGCGTAGCCACTTGAGGGATGCAAGGGGGTAACTACCCCAATCACCACAGAAACCATTCTCTCAAGTCTAAATCCATAGAGACATTGGGGGGGGGGGGGATACATGTTACATTCTCAAGGCTAAAACTGACTAAGTGTCAACCTAGGACAACCGACAGTAACAATTTACTGAAGGAGCTTGATGTGTAAAATCTTGTTAATTTAAAGTGTTTATATATATTATTAATATTGTTTATATATATTATGGTTGCAAGAAGAAGATACAGAGTAAATTTGAGAAGAAATATTCATGCTATGGCAATGACATACATACACGCATGCATGCAATTTAACAGTTGAAAATCTAAACTAAATCCATTATGAAAGTAATGCAATTTTGAGAATGTGAGAAATGGCATCTCATAGCACCATAGAACCTAGAATTACCTAAATGCAAAATTTCCGATCAAAATCACATTTGGATTTTCTCCCCACAGAGGGAAAAGTGACACAGACCTCTCCTCCAGTTTTCCAAGGTGACTTTTCCAATTCATTTAGTTCTGAGGAGAAATATCTGGTAAAAAATCATGTCTTTGATGCACTTTACAATCTTCGGAATTATGCAAAATTTCACCCTCAAAATGCTTGAAATCGCATCTTAATTAAGGACTCTATTTCAAAATCCCCCTAGCCACTCTCACGCCTTCGCCCCCACCCCCTCAAAAAATAAGGCCACAGATTAAATTCATATATGTATTATTTAACTGTGATAAGGCTGTCGCTACTGGATGTATAAGCAAGTTTCTACTGCATAGTGTTTGATCTTGATGCAACTGCTCCACAGGAATATTTATGGTAATTATAAATATACATATCACAAATGTACAAACGTCAACAATAATCACATATTTGTATAAACATAGCAATAACACTTACCGAGATATAATTACTTTCCAGACGAGGCCCATTTATAACTTTATCAGATGATGAGGCAGTTGTTCTGCACTGTCGAAACATCTTCATTCCTGTGCTTCGGGTAAACATTTTTGGTAAGAAAGAGGACGCCATTTCAATCACGAATCGCTGGGTATTAAATTGAAACAATTATTTATATATTAAGTTTTAAATCGGACTTTTGACTTCATACTATAGAGTATTAAAATCCCGACTTTGTTCCTCAAGATATTTGGATTATTTGATATTTGCTCCCAAAGCTAAAAATCATCAAATTTGTCTAGGCAGTATGGTCGTCTTCGGTCAGCTTTTAATACAAAATTGCAGTTTTGTAAATGTAAATTTGTTACATAAATTATAATAATTACTGGTATTGCTTGTCCAAGGTCAAGTCTATAATATGAAGGCATGAAATTTGCATATGACATTGGGTAGCCTCTGGTTGTCATGAGCATGCAATTGAAGGGTATTTACAGGGACGCCGGAACTGGGGGGGGGGGGGGGGGGGGGGGCGG